ACTCTGGCTTTAATTTGGTCCCTGCAACATTTTCATGTGTATGTCTGCAGCCATTTCACCACTGTTGTTTTCTCAGATCACAACCCGCTGACCTTCCTCCACCGCATGTTCAACTCAAATCAACGCCTAATGAGATGGGCTCTCCTCCTCCAGGAGTTCAACATCGAGGTCCGCCACAAGAAGGGGACGGACAACTTGATAGCTGACGCGCTATCCCGATGCCACGCAGATTGAGGCTCCCAAGTAGTTTTGTTTTGGTTTAGCTGTAAGGATCTCCCTTTAAGGCTAGTGTTGGTAGCGCAAGCTACCATCTCGGGGACACTCCGCAGCGCTGAGGATCAGCGCAGCGCGATATTTTTGTGTTTAATCAGCCCGCCTTCAGAGATCCAGGGATTTTACTTAGTTAGTTAGCTGTTTTGTTTCTAGTTAGTTAGTGGGAGCACTCTTGTTTTTGGTGGCAACAACAAAAATAACTTTTAGTTGTTGTTTTGAGGGGGAGGGTGTTACAGACGCTGTCTGTTTTGTGGCCACAAGATGGCCTCGGTGCTCCTCCTGATCTCCTGGCTCCAGCTGAGCCAGGTGTCGCACATTATCCGATCAGGGAGCTTCCTTTAAAAGCCAGCTCCCTCTGTCATTCGAGGAGGGAAGCTTAGCAGAGGCCTGAGTGTTAAAGCTGGTGTTCCTCTTTTCCCTCCTAGAGCTGACTTATTTAGTCTCGTTGTGCAACCTGTGTGGTTTGGTTATTCTTCCTAGTTCAGAGCTCGCTTTTCGTCTTCTTTAGAATTCTCGTTAAAGAGTTCAGCTCACCCTTTTGGTGGAGCTTTTTGTGTTTATTATTACTCGTTAAAGAGTTCAGCTCACCCTTCTGGTGGAGCTTTTTGTGTTTAACTCATTCCCTTAGTTTCCCGGTTTAGTCCCGGCGTTTTGTGTTTATTAATATTATTGTTCTTTGCCCAGTCCTGGATGGTCCTTGTGTTTTGTATTATCATTAATTCCCCAGTGTGGACATCCTTTCGGTTTTGTATTCATTGTTCCTTTGCCTGCATAAAGCAGTGTTTTTAGTTAATAAACTCCTCTAAGAGAGTAAATCTTGGTTTGGTCTGGTTTTACACACATTTTTCTTTACGCCCTCAAACCATCATCTCCTAGACGAGCTGGGGGGCGTCAAAGTGAATATTTGAGATTTTGGATGTGAAGAAGGATATGAGGGAGTTGTAATAGTCGGAGGAAACCATACTGTTAAGCAATAAATCAGGAGGCTTTGTAATTTTGGAGAAAAGAGAAAAAAGGGTCTTGGAGTTACCTTCACTCGAGCTGATTAAATTAGAATAGTAAACCGATTTAGCTGTGTGAATGGAGTCTTTATAATGCAATAAGTGATTCTTATATAGATTTGTATGGATAGTGAGGCCGGTTTTCTTAAACAAACGTTCCAATCTGCATCCTTTGGATTTAAGACAGTGAAGGTCGTAGTTAAACCAAGGTGCTGAGCGGTTAAATGAGACAGATCTTTGCTTAATTGGGGCAAAAGTATTGAGAATGTTATTTAGATTAAAATAATAGTTAAAAACAACCCTTAACTTTAAATTCATGTTTTGAGACTGTAAAAAGTAAAACGCGTATTTATTAGACTGTCTTTCCAAATGAGAATCAGGAAACCACCAGGTTCTAATAGACCAGGGGTCTCCAACCTTTTGGCCGTGAGCTACTTTTACACAAAGTACTGAAGAGCTACTGCCATGTGATTTATTCATTTATTTATGGACAACATCATACCCAATAGTTCACTAATAACAAACCCTGGATCACCAGTGAACTGAAGAATCTGCTAAATGAGAAAAAAAGAGCCTTCAAGGAGGGAGAGAGGGAATTATTGAGGAGTATACAGAAGCAACTGAAGATCAAGATCAGAGACAGCAAGGAGGCATACAGGAAGAAGCTGGAGAACAAACTACAAGGGAACAATATCAGAGATGTCTGGTCAGGGATGAAGATCACAGGCTTCAAGCAGAGGAAGGATTGCACAGATGGCAGCCTGGACACAGCCAATGAACTGAACAAGTTCTTCAATAGGTTCAGTTCAGGAACAAACCCAGCATCCTCCTCACCTGTCCCCAGCCAATCAGACATCCCATCCTCCTCTGATCCAACATTTTCCTGTCACACGCCAGCTCTTTTATCCTCTAACGCAGTCATGGACTCTTCTGGTTCTATAAATCTGTCTTCAACCAAGTCAGGAGATGCTGCTGCCCCATTTACCTCCCCCTCCCACCTATCTGTCTCTAGAAGTCAGGTGAAGAGGCAGCTGGAGAGACTGAACAGGAACAAGGCTGCAGGTCCCGATGGTGCCAGCCCCAGATTACTGAAGGCCTGTGCAGAGCAGCTCTGTGGGATTCTGCAGCACCTCTTCAACCTCAGCCTGACCCAGGAGAAGGTTCCAGTCCTGTGGAAGACATCCTGCCTTGTTCCAGTTCCAAAGAAAACTCACCCATCAGTCAATGACGACTGCAGACCGGTTGCCCTGACATCCCACATCATGAAGGTCCTGGAGAGACTCCTGTTGGTCCACCTGAATAAGCAAACTAGAATATATCAGGACCTGCTGCAGTTTGCTTATCGCCATGGAGTTGGAGTTGAAGATGCCATCATCCAGCTGCTTCAACCAACCCACTGTCATCTGGACAAAGCAGGCAGCACTGTGAGGGTCATGTTCTTTGATTTCTCCAGTGCATTTAACACAATCCAGCCTGATGTACTTTGCCAGAAACTCCAGAAGACACAGGTGGGGGCCTCAACTATCGCCTGGATTAAAGACTACCTGACAAACAGGGAGAAGAAACATGGGAGAAGAAGTGGAGGTGGTTGAGGAATACAAACACCTTGGAGTTCACCTGGACAACAGGCTGGACTGGAGAAAGAACAGCGAAGCCGTTTACAAGAAGGGACACAGCAGACTGCACTTATTGAGGACGCTTAGGTCATTCAGTGTCTGTAGCAAGATGCTGCAGATCTTCTACAAGTCTGTTGTTGAGAGTGTAATCTCTTCAGCCATCGTCTGTTGGGGCAGCAGCATCAGAATCAGGGACCTGAAAAGGCTCAACAGCCTAATAACAAAGCCTGGTTCTGTTCTGGGGACGACTGTGGAACCACTGGAGGAGATGATGCAAAGAAAGATTCTCCAGAGAATCAAGACAATTATGGACAACCCTGAGCATTCTCTTCATAAGACTGTCCGACAACGGAAGAGTGTCTTCAGTCAGAGGCTTCTTCAGTTTCGCTGCAACACTGACCGCTACTGGAGATCCTTCCTGACAACAGCCAATGTAATATACAACAACTCTTTGATGACTTGATTATTATTATTATTCTGAGCTACTACAGCAATCAATTTCCCTCTGGGATTAATAAAGTAGTTTTGAATTTGAATTTGAGGTAGACTGATTGATTAAAAATGCCTGTTTCTATTACAAACATCCACTACTGCAGGGGTGGGCAATCCTGGTCCTCATGGGCCGCTATACAGCAGGTTTCAGAGGTTTACCTGCTCCAACACACCTGATTCCTGGATAAATCACCTGTTCAGCAGCTCATCAGGCTCTGCAGCAGCCTGTTAATCACCAGAAGATTCAATCCAGGTGTGTTTAGGGAGAGAAACAACAAAAAGGGAGATAGGGGACCTTGAGGACCAGGATTTCCCACTCCTGCACTAGTAGACATCTGCTTTTTAAGGATTCCTTTTTTCCAAAACATACATTTCTTTTAATCGTGGCACTAAAGCTTGGCATAGTTGTGTGTGTACTTTCTGACATACTGGGACACTTTTAGGGTTGGGCATCGTTTGATTTTGAACGATTCCAATTCCTTGTTTTGATTCCGGTTCCTATCGATTCCCGATTCCAATTCTTTCAAGACATGACATGTTTTACATGAGCTAGCTAACCACAGGTCCTAGTTGATGAAATGATCTTAACTCCAACATGAATTTTAATTCTATGAACAACAACATCACCTTCATTTAGACAAAAACATGTTTTGGAGAAAAAAAGAAAAAGACTTGCAGCACAACCAGTGTGTTTGTTTCTGACCACAACCAAAGTCTGGAAGAAGCCTCTGGGATGAGAGGCTAAATGTCTCCAACACATCCAGAAACGTGCAGCTGTTTTCAGCTAAAACTCTCAGGATGATCATGTCCAGGATGACTGAGAACTACACCTCCATGCTGCAGCAGCATTCAGTCAGAACTGAAACGTAGATTGTTACTGACATCAGCTACATTTAACAGATTTTAAACATTAAAACTCTCAACAGAAATAATTCAGAAAGGAAATTTAAATGTTCACAACTTTGTGTGTGATTTATTATTATTATTTATGGTGGCAGAAGCTGGTGTGGTCCACCACAGAGAAAGCTGCTCTAGCATGATGACTTTAATGAATCTACAGGTAATTGTTCAGCCTTCTGACGCTCTCTCACACACACACACACACACACACACACACACACACACACACACAAGTGTTGGTGAGCGGCTGCGTCTGACTGCTGACGCTCCGTGTGTGTTTTTGTTTCTGCAGTGAGACAAACTCACCTCACACCGTCCAGAGTTTGTTCTTTAAAGCTTCTATTAAATCCACCGTGTTGACATATTTAACACGTTTCCTCTACAGGAGTTAAAGTTTACATCACGGAGCAAAAGTTCGGCAGACGCGTTTGTTTATATTTGGCCGCTGCGCACCAGGTGGGGGAGGGGGGACTCGGTGCTGCACACAGACAGCTGGTGTGATCAGCTCTGAAAAGCGTTGATCACAATTTGCAGATCACATTTATTTTTCACGGAGATCAGCCGCGGATTCCTCTTCCGTCGGCATTCTAGGAATCGAAACTAAGAGTCAAAATAAAAAACTTTGAATGATTCCGGGAAAAATGAACAGTTGGAACTGGTTCCAATCGATGCTCAATGCCCAACCCTACTTAATGAGACAGAGACACCCCCTACTTACCAACTTGTTGTCATTATCCTCCATGTCCTCTTCTTGAAACGAGTCTTTCTTTACATCAGCATCCATTTGACCACTATCCAGCTCATCATCGTCACATCCAATCACAAACAAGGGAACGTCTCTGAGAATCTGCCCCCTTTCATCCACTTGTCCCGATTCGTTACCAGACATGGACATTACAAATCCAATGGTGCCATGGCTGCTCCGGGAAAGCAGTGCTTTGTGGGAGTTAAGATCCTAACGAGAAAGGCCTCCACAGTAGAGGCCACAGGATAAAGCCCAAGGCCTGGTGGCCGTTCTCAGGAGTTAGGTTGGGAAAAGATGCGGGATAGATAAGTAGGAGTATTGAGGTAGGCCATGAAGATCCTGGTAGATCCTGGTATCTCCTCTTAGGTTTACATTTGTTTGACCTGTGTTGAAATGAGACAAAAAACAAAGGGAGGAAGAGTTCAGCAACAAGTACTTTAGGACAAAGTGAACCAAGTCAGTTCTTTAGTAGCCAAGTGGTTCCTACACCTACAATTCAGAGAACAGCAATCACACGACAGAAACCCAATTCCTTAAGAAACAGGATCCATAAAAGAAATAATGTCCATGCATGGCTACTGCCCTCTAGGGGGCAATATCTCATTTTATTTCATTTTTACTATTCTACTGTTGTATAATTACATAATAAAATCAAACTGAGCAGTTCATTTTTAAAACCTAAACTGTATGTCTTTACAAAAAAGGTTATTGTTTATTGTTAAGTTATAGTCAACAATCTGTGAATCCATTACATCCATGTCATTTAGAGCCAAGCAAGATTTATACAGTGAAAAACCAACTAGGAGTGTGCCTGTACACCTAAATCAACGTTCGTTAGGAGACAGACAACAGGATTCAGGATGCCTTGAGGTATGGTGAGGGTTTTGGATTAAATACAATATAACATGCTATTGCAGTTTGTGATGTGATGACCAAGTTTCAGACACAGAGAAGGAAAGGGAGGGTAAAGTTCTAACGAAATGCAATCCAAAAACATCCAGAGTGCCTCCACCACCAACACATGCCTTTTCCTCTTCTGTTGCCACAGTCTGCTCCCTCAAACATGCCCGTCTAGAACCGGCCCTGTTTAATATTTACAACTGAATTTCACAAAAAGGTGAGGGATTTTCATGTCTGCTAATGGAGAGCCCAGCCACCCTGCAGAGAAAACTCATTTCGGCTGCTTGCATCCTCATCTCATTGTTTCAGTAACTACCCAAAGCTCAACCAGTAAATGGAGAACTTCACCTTCTGACTCAGCTCTCTCTTCACCACGACAGACCGGTACAACGCCCGCATCACTGCAGACGCAGCACCAACCCTCTGATGGATCTCGAGCACTATTTTTCCCTCACTCATGGACAAAACCCTGAGATACTTAAACTCCTCCACTGAGGTGGTACCTCATCCCTGACCTGGAGAAGATCCTGGTATTGGTCCTGGAAAGGTATTCTACCCTTTTCCAGGTCAAGACCATGGTCTCGGATTTAAAGGAGCTTGGTGGTTTCCTGACAGATGAAATTCCAGCCTACAACATGCAGAATTGTTTTTACAGCAATTTCATTAATATCTCAAATGAATCTGCGCTGCTTCCCGAAGAAGCAGGAACCACTCTGTGAACACAGCATAATGCTTCATGGAGGGGACCATCGGCTAGAACACTGCTGCTAACCACTTAAACATTCTCCCTCTCCTGATAATAACATTTTACTCGCTTTGACATTGAATGTGCTACTACTAGTTTACCCGTTTAATTATAGATTCACTAGGATAAATACAATAAAGTTCATCTCTCACCAAATGGAATATCTACTAAGAAATCACAACGTAACCATAGAAACACTACTTGGTATATATGTTGTGTGTGTGTGTGTGTGTGTGTGTGTGTGTGTGTGTGTGTGTGTGTGTGTGTGTGTGTGTGTGTGTGTGTGTGTGTGTGTGTGTGTGTGTGTGTGTGTGTGTGTGTGTGTGTGTGTGTGTGTGTGTTGTGCTCTGTCTTTTCGATCCCCAGTGAGTCATGGAGGATGGCTGCTTATACTGAGCCAGGATCCTCTGGAGGTTTCTTCCTGTTAAAAGGGAGTTTTCCTCTCCACTGTTGCTGCATGCTTGCTTAGTATGAGGATTGCTGTAAAGACTGACACTAGTCAGTGACTCGATGCAACCTGCTGGGTTCCTTATATAGGAAACATTTTTTCTGATTAGCTTAACGAACTAACCTGATCATACTGTGGTTATTCTACGAACTTTGGTGTAGAGCCCTGCACGGGCCTAAAATCTGAGCCCGTGTCCGGCCCGGCCCCAGGAGGTGTAGCCCCATCTCCACCACACGTTTTTACTTGTATAAAACAATAAGTTATACACATGTAATATTTATACATCTGATACAATTCAGATCACCTTCAAAACTCAGTCACACACCCAGGGCCGTTTCAAGACATTTTGGGGGCCAAGGCAAAATGACCCCCCCATAACTGGGCTCCCCAGAAGCCTCTGTGTAATTCATACCCTCTCCAGTAGTGTTAGTTAAACAATGTTTATAAAATTTCCTCAGACATCGCTGACATGTTATCAGATGAAAAACTAAATTATCAGACATGCTGTCTCATCTGCTGCTCTTCTAAACTTGCAAAAAGTAACAAAACTATTTGAAAGCCACTATTTGTGGATTCTCTGAAAGTTTCCATGGAGTGTGTGACAACTTATTTTTTCATTGATCCTATCGTCTAATCTCACAGCTGAAACAAGCATCATTAACAATCTGTGCACAGGAAGCTTACCGATGCTGTAGTAAAACAAAATGTATAATAATTTATTATTAATAAAACCGTGTTGCAGCACTAAAGCATAAAAATGTGATTTTGCAATAAATATGTGAAATATTTACATATGAATTGTTTTGGAGCCCTTTTATTGGCAGAATCTGATATTAATTTAGTTCTTACAAAAAAATGGGTCCCAACGTGGCTTGTGTGGCATTGCCATAGTGTGACGTCATAGGCACAGATCCCCTGTCCTCTTTTTTGGAGATGGAAATATGTTCACCCTATATTCAACAAACTGTCCACCCGAGCTTTTGCGCTGCACAGAGGCAATTCGCTGCCTATGACTGAACGTCAGTTGAGAGTCAGTCTCATGCAGACTGACCAATGAAGAGAGGGCCTCAAGTTAAGACCCTCTCCTAATTGGTCAGTCCACACGAGGTGGGTCAAAGGTTACCCTGAGCGGTAACATGATGTCAGGCATTCAAGTATTGAGTATATTTACTGCATATTACAGTAAAATATTCTGTATGTGACCATATTATGGTGATCCTTGGGTCGTGATGATGGGGCCCTTTAATATTGTTGCCCAGGGTACAACGAAGTGTTAATCTGGCCCTGCTTGTGGGGACGCATTAATAACTTGTGGGGACGCATTAATAACTTGTGGACACGCATTAATAACTCGTGGCCACGCATCAATAACTCATGCCCATGAGTTATGGTTTCCTCCAAGGCACCACACGGGACACCGTAGCACCGCAGCACTACTCATGAAACCATCTGAAAACACCAACCTGATCCTCCGCATTACAGATGTTTCATGTATCAGCGCGTGGCCCTGCTGACTTCATACAACTGTCCGCACCTGGGCAGAGGGTTTCTCTCACCTGTGTCCCTTCCTGCTCAGGAATCTAAACGCTGCCATGAGGGTCAAAACAAGAGTCTTACCGTTTCGCTTCACTTCCTTGTTTCCGCTCAGCCTGGGTGAAGCGACGCGCAGCTGCCTCTCTTTCTTTACTCTTTTAAACTTACAATAAAGTTATCCAACCAACGTCAAAGTTTACGTAGACATGTAGAATGTCTTCAACCACCTAATCCTCGACCACTTCCTTCCTTCCTTCTCTCTCTTTCTCATCGGGTCTACAGAATGTTCTAAGTACACTGAGAAGGTCTTGGCTGCGGCTTGTAGCACGGGGAGGGACTGCGGTGAAGCCGGCCTCCACTCGGAGATCCACGGTAAAGGGAGTCCTCATTCGATTTTTTGAGGTGCGAGCATACACAGTATTACGGTAACAGCCTTTGCAAACCTTTTCAAAATAAAAGCCAGTTCCTTACTGGGTGTTCCACTGCGGTAAAACCAGCCTCCAATCGTCGATTCACGGTAAAAGTAAGCCCTCACTCGATTTTGTTAGGCTCACGCGTTCACAGCTTGACGTAAAAGGTCAGGCCAATGTTTCTCAAAATAAAAGCCCATCCTAGTATTTGCTGACTGTTTAAGAAAAACTTTAAAAATAGAATTCAAAAGTTATGAAATCATACTTAAGTCTCTATTTTAACAGATATTTAAAATATATACTTCAAATGATGAAATGCCTAAAACAATATTTGACAATCATTTTGAAATATGTTTCTCTCTGAGTCTGTAGTGATTTAATACTATATTACAATTTGACGAACTCTCATTATTCCTATGAAAATAAATTCAGCAGCTTATTTTTAAAATATTAATTATTCATCCCAAAATATGAACTTATTACACAAAATATGTTTTAATAACACCCCAAAAATCTGTTATTCCAGCTTCTGGAGTGGAAAGGTGAATATTAGACCACCACTAGTAACACCACGGGAAGTCTCATCAACATTTGATGTGGAATTCCACATGAGAATTGGAAGACACCTTTTTTATGTAAACTAGATGCATTCTAGTACTCAACTTTCTACGCCATATGCTGGCATAGCAGGGTGATTTTTTATTTTTATTTCTTCAAAATAGAGGATTGAATCATTTATAACAGAGTTCAAAGTGCTTTAATTTTGAAATCCAGATAAGATTTGGATGAAACATTTTTATATGTAGAAGATGTGTTCTAGTAATCATCTGTCCAAACCAGATGCAGGCATAACAGGGAAGTGTTTACAAAACATTTTATAAATAGAGGCTTTAATCATTTATACTAGTTTTTAAAGTGCTTTAACTTTGGAATTCCACATCATATTTGGAAGATACATTTTGTATATGAACTAGATGTATTCTACTCATCTGTCCACACCATATGCTGGCATAATAGGGGGATTAAAAAAACATTTTTCAAAATGGAGGGTGTTACGTCCCCTTTTTCAGTGGGGCCTGTAAGTACTTGTGGTTATTGTATTATTTTTATTTTTGGCATACTCATTGTGGAGCGTCAGAGCGGAAGAAACCTGTCGGCGAGTGAGAACCAGGAAGAGCGTCTTGTCTCCATGGCGACGTCGGGGATTCCCTCAAAATGAACGTGCCTCATCCAGGAACCCTGGTTGAAGCGCGGGGAGTCTGGCTGCATGAGATAAGGACTGATTGTTTCAGCTGTGCCGGAGAGGATAAAGACGACGTGGGATCAGCTGTTCGAGGAGCAACTCTTACCCATGGGTTGTCTCCCTGCTCCTCACTCCCGTTGAGTTCCGTGTCCGATTGTAATCCAATAGAGTGTGCGTGTTTTAGAGGTCCTACGCTAGACAGACGGTGGTTATAGTTTTCGTTTATTAGATTTGTTTATCTTGATCCAGAAGTGTAGAACACCAGCCTTTAATTTGTAAAGTTTTAGAGGTTCCAGCTAAACCAGAAAGCTTGGTATATTCTGTTGTATTTTATTCCTGGGGCTTGTTCCCCAGCCCTTTTCCTTTTGTGTAACTGGTATTATCCTGTGAGGCGGTTATATCCCCTCCTTTTATGTTATTAAAAGATATTGTTATTAACAGCCTTACGACTCCTCCCACTCCTTTTACCTTAATTTACTTACCTGTGCCCGGATCCTAAACTTGAGTTGTAACAAAGTGGGGGCTCGTCCGGGATTTGTCGGTTACATATAACATTTACCCTCAGTAACAAAGTGGGTTTTCGTTGTGGGGTTGTTTGTAATAATTTCTTTTCTGTGATCATGTCTAGCTTCGAAGTGGAAACCTTCATGAGGGCGCCTTCCCGTGGACAACTGGATGAGTGTCATAAGCAAGATTTATTAGAAGTAGCTGCTTACTTGGGTCTCACTGGGGTTCAGCACATGCTGAAGAACGCCCTGAAGGAGGAGGTTCTGTCTGTGATGGAGCGGAGAAAGCTGCTGTCACCCCTGAGTGATCTTGCTGTCTTGCCTTTTCAGAGTGAGAAGGACTGTGTTGACGGTAAAGAGGAGGACATTGCTGAGGCGTGTGGTGCGACAGAGGATGCGGCCGACGGGATGAGGACCCCTGAAAGGGGTGAGGACCGTCACTCTCCTCCACCAACTCTCCCACGATTTGACCCGGATTCTCCAGGTTCGAGGAGCGATTCTCTTGACCACGCCTGCTTTCAATATCGTTTGGCTCGCCTGAAGCAGGAGGCAGAGAATAAACAACGTGAAAGAGACTTCGAAATGAGGAAATTGGAACTTGAAGCAGACAACAGAACAAAGCTGAAACGACTGGAGCTGGAGGTTCAGGCACAGCTGCCGAGCAGAAGAGCTGATCAGACGGCTAAAGGGCTGACGACTGCTGCAGAGCAGATTGACGTCGGGAAGTGCATGATGCTGATGCCACCTTTCAGTGAGGCCGAAGTGGACAGCTACTTCGCCGCGTTTGAGCGCATTGCTACTTCACTCAGTTGGCCGCAGGAAGTGTGGACTCTGCTGTTACAACGCAAACTGACAGGCAAGGCTCAAGAGGTAATGTCTGCTTTGTCTGTGCATGATTTTTCTGACTATGACCGTGTAAAAGAAGCAGTTTTGCAGGCATATGAGCTGGTTCCAGAAGCCTATCGGCAAAAGTTCAGATCTCTTAGGAAACGGGACGAGGAGCAGACATATGTAGAATTTTCCAGAGAGAAAAGCATTTTGTTTGATAAATGGGTTATGGCGTCAAAAGTGATTAGTCTGACTGAGTTACGAGAGCTTGTATGTAAAATTTTCTTTTGCGACCCAGTAAATACAACTTCTCAAATACATTTCTGCGCATGCTCAGTTGTTGTTTTACAAGCGCACAACTCTCCTCACGAGTCTGACTTTTGAAACACTTTTGGCAGGTTGTATGTTGCAAATTGCAGCTGTGTGTATCTGCAGAGGCGAGTGGAGCAGGGGATGAGGGCGAGGGTGGGGGCGGAAGGAGGAGCCACAGAGGGAGGGTTGTCATTGGTCTGCTCTGGTTTCCAGGACAACAGGCTCAACCAATCAGAGGGAGAGTTGCGTTTTTCCCTCGGTTTTCAGTCCGCTGCCGTCTGCAGTTCGCAATGGCTGAAGAGCTTGGGTAAGTACATTTCAATGGGCTTTCTAAACTTATTTTAGTCATTTCCTCTTCTTTTTATTTAAACAAGGTGACACACTAACATAACGTCATGCTATTTATACCATTATTAAGGCCTTATTATAAGATATTTGTACAAATATGTAGTCTAGCTAAAGTTTATATGAGCTGCTTTGCTAAGTTAGCAGAAACAAAAACGCCACTGCTAACACTGTAGTCTTGCATTAAGGCCACACAAAAATCATTGAAAGCCTCTTGGCTAAAGGGATCATCTGACCCTGCAACAGCACCTACTCAGCTCCATTGTGGCCAGTAAAGAAGCCTAATGGTAAGTGGCAACTAAACATTGACTACAGGCAACTCAACAAACAGGTTCCCTTGTCTTGGTGGATGATAGCGCCTGGAACAAGAACTCCCAAAAGTGAAAGACGCTAAATACTTCTCCACCCTTGACACTGTGTCTGGATTCTGGACAATTCCTGTCCATAAATCTGACCAACACAAACTAGCCTTCTCCTTTGCCAACCACCAGTACACCTTCACTCGGTGTCCTTTTGGTTATTCCAACTCACCAGCTGAGTTTAATATCTTCTTGGGCAAAGCCTGCCCTGATGCTCGAGAGCGAGGTACTCTCATCTATGTCGACGACTGTAAAATTCTGATTGAATCAGTGAAAGGAATGTTATGTCCTTTTAACACTACGTGAAATGAGTCCTGTTGGAACACTTAAAGTCACAGTACTTATTATTTCTATAGGATCATAATAAAGTAATTAATATTTTGATTTCACAGGTCGGTCACATCTTTTTACTGACTAACACTTTGATGGATTAGCTTTATTAAAACAGAGTTCTTTGATTAATTAAAAGAAAAGAGTTTATTCTTCGTTTTTCTGTTGAGCTGAAAATAAGCAGGTTGGAAGGAACGCATGAGACCTTGAGACTATCTCTCATGCAGACTCGTTCTGAGCAAAGAAGGGAAAAATAAGAGTCATGTGTTCATGTGTGTATCCTGGAAAGGATACTTCTAATCTTAGCAATAAATCAAAGGTGAAAAAAGGAAATCCTACAAACCTGTTCAACGTGGGATTTGAATTACATGTCCTGGTTGAAGATAACACCAAGGTTCCTTAATTTGTTCTCAGAGATTAATTTAATGCCATTCAGGTCAGGTGATTGACTAAGCAATTTCCTTTTCTGAATTTCAGGTCCAAATATGAGAACTTCAGTCTTGTCTTGATTTAAAAGCAAAAAGTTTTGAGTCATCCAATTTTTTATGTCTTCAAGATAAGCCTGTAATCTAATTAACCGATTAGGTGTCAGACTGGTCGGCTGGATAAGGGAGTTGAGCTGTGGCGAGCGTAGCTTTACCGACGCGGAATTGCTAGCGTCGGCGAAACACCGGCTCGCGGTTTGATCTAGGAATTCCCCGAGCGTCCGAGCGTCAATGAGGCGACACGGAGATGCTGGGTTTTGCAGAGGTAAGAAATAGAGCTTACTGTGAGTAGACAGTTCGTTGGGTAGGTTGGTAGAATACTCTGATCACGGATTAGAAGAAACGATGACTGAGTGGTGAGCTCGGGAGGCGACTTCCGTATATAGTAGTGGTTGGTGACGTAGGTGTGACGTGGAGGGAATCCCCACGAGGAGCATGCTGGGAGTTGTGGTCCAGGGTGGAGACTGGATAGAAGAGGCTGGTTTGGGCACTTGGGCTCTGACAGGAACCCCTGGTCCAGGGACGGCTCCTGAAGTC